GGACAGGACCTAGAGGTCCGGACACAAGACACTGCAGGTTTTTGGGGTGGTGGGTTTTGCACAGGCCCGAGCAATTTCAAAGCGGCCGTTTCGACGTGGCGCCTGTCTCTGCTGCCCGTTGGAGAGGGATATATCTATTTGACGATATATAGATAGATAGATAGAGAGAGAGAGAGAGAGAGAGAGAGAGAGAGAGAGAGAGAGAGAGAGAGAGAGCACTGACAGTGCTGCCAGTCTGAAGACTCTGACGTTCTGAATTGAACTGCAAAGTTTGAAGAAAAGTCTGAAAAACTCATCATCACCTAAATCGATAACTATTACATAGCACTATTAACAAAACCAAAGTGTTTCGAGCATCCGAAACCCAAACGGTTCCCCACATAACCCTAAACCCCAAACCCTAAACCCTAAGCCCTTGAGTAACTCGAGTGAAGAAGGCGAGTCAACACCAGTCAATGGGAGCACAGCAGCAATGCGCTTGTGACTTTTTTTTTGTTTTCTTCTTCATAATGGTTTCCTTGAAATGAAGTAAGATCTGGTTGACTTTGACTAAACTCTGCATAACTGTTAGCAAAATCAGCTGCTGTAGCCTGCTGACATGCTGATTTGCTGTATTGCAGTGTTTAAAACTTCACAGACATCACAGTGCTTTGGAGTTTGTACTCTTTTTAACTGGTCTCCCAAATAGGAGGGCAAACAAACGTCACCCGTCTCCTGCACATTGTCTTACTAGAGTTTCTTTAATAGAATGAATCCACGCACTCTGATTTTGTCGTAAAACGTCACCCCTTTCTCCCACTTTTTTGATTCTCTTGCCGCCCACAATGTGAACCGGCAGTTGCGCAAACTGACTGCAAAAAGTTGTGCAAATATTTTTGACACTGCTTTCAATGAATTCCTCTCTGGAGCTTCCTTTGAATTTCAAGTAAAACAAACAAACGCAGTTGCAGACGCTGAACGATGTGGCAACTCGAATAAATATAGGATGCATCAAGAAATCCGATAAACGCTGCTAGAGGGAGCATTCACTAACGATGTGTTCAACTGCTCACTCATCCGCTCACAGTTCGATTGACAAGCTTATTGATCTGCTCAGGATATATCTGCTTCTTGCACACTCAGCAAGATCGGCCTGTAGGTCCTCCATGACCTTCTTGCCACACTCTCCCACAGTCTCCAACGCAGATGCATGCCATTTGTAAAATGCCTCAAGCTCTGTAAGCCAGGTGATGATGATTTTGCACCCAGATGTGTGTGTGCGTGCGTGTGTGTGTGTGTTATGAATTTTATCCCCTGTTCCACCCACATGGGTCGATCCACAGAGAGAGAGAGAGAGAGAGAGAGAGAGAGAGAGAGAGAGAGAGAGAGAGAGAGAGAGAGAGAGCTTGGATGTGTTCCTCTTGCTGTACCCATACATACTGAATAACAGGGGGCATAAGAAGAGGTGAAAAAAAACAAGACAACATCAGCATATTATGGAGGGCCTGAATCAGCAAAACATGGGGGGTTACAACTTACAACTGTACACCCTGTTTTCCTGCCTAACCCACACAGTCCTTAGTATCAACAAGAAACACCATGTATCCAGCACGTATAATTTTTTACACACAAGTAGAAATATATTTTTATTACTAGTATGGTAGGTATACTACTTTAGTATTTAGTATTTACTAGTATCTGCAGTGAAGAAAATTCTCACCTTTACCCGTGACCCTCCCTCCACTGTGACTCCTGTCTCCAGGTTGGTTAGCAGCACATCAAAACTCCCCCGTAAGGATTGTGGTTCTGCATCCAGCCAAATCTGGTGCCATTTGTTATTATGACTCTATGACAGAAAAAAAATCTGCCACAGAAAACAACCTGCCACAGAAAACAACCTGCCACAGAAAACAACCTGCCACATACAACCGCTCGCCTTACTGAATACAGGATTAGAATTTAGTAATTTTAATAATTAAATTATAATTCACTATTGAGAATTGATACGATGATTGAGTTTTGGTTTAAATGTCTGTAAACAGTGTAAAGACAGTAAAGGTGAAAAAACTTTTTTTTTTTTTTTTTTTAATTTGGACCATTTCTTGATTTATGCGTGTCATCCTTGCGCAGGGGCCATGCTAATCTTCTCTGTATCATTCTAATTTAGTTTAAAATTTAAACTTTATAACTTTATAACTTTATAAATGAAACGGTTTTCACCTTTTAGCAGTAGCGGATGCAGTACCCAGGGTTCGATCCCTAGACCTCACCCTACCCATGTACAGTATCTGTGTAGACCCCGAGAATTGAACCTGTGACCTGTGTATTCGTAGGCAGTTGGTAGACCTGTCGTAGGTCCATAGACAGCAGGGGTTCGATCTGTAGGTCTATAGCGTAGGAGTCTTAGTGAGTTCTGGAAGCTTAGCTGT